TGTGGTAAAGCTAAGTGTCGTAGAGTCAAGTGTGGTAAAGTCAAGTGTACTTGACTCCACGTATTCTCTATGTATTTTCTCTGCGAGGCTCCGCACGGAAGAACCCTTCGCGATGCTTTCGGGAAAACCCTGAACCCTAAAACACCTAAACCCTAGAACCCCTAAACTCTAAACCCCTATAAACCCCATACTCCGAAACCCCAAACCCCTAAACCCTAAACCCCCATACCCTAACCCCATGCCCTATGCCTTCGCGGCGGCGATCTGCGTCACCAGCGCACGCGAGAGCTCGGAGTTGGCTTCGATAGCCTGAAGACACGCAAGGAGGACTTAGTGGTTGAGGGTTGAGGGCGTTTGTTAGTTTCAGGGTTTAGCTTGGGGTTTAGCAATTTGGGGCCTGGGGTGTAGGGTTTGGGGTGTAGGGATGGTGTAGGGTACAGGATTACGGCTTAGGGTTTAGGTTTAGTGAACGGGATTTTAGAACCCCGCGCCTGGGCAAAATCACTTTGCACGAGCAGTAAGAATGCCTCACCAGGAGGACGAGTGAAGACAGTTGTGTCGCCAGCAACACTACATGAGCAGGCAAGAAAATCGGTGGTCTCTCCCACCCCGTTTTGGAGTTCGAGCGGGGAGGAGCCCTTATCCTTCGTTGGGCTGTGGTGGAAAGCAACTACGAATGACTGGGACATGGCAAAGACAAGCAGACAGCTGCACTCTTCACCTTGTGGACCGTCAGGCCAACCTGCCAACAACAACTTTTGCAAGCGTCACAAAAAAACATCCGCTTCTACGAAGGGCACGGCCTCCACACTCTCCAAACCTTTCGCCATGTACGGCAGGTCCGCCAGGGGCATCTTGCGCTCCTCGCCGCCGCAGGGCCCGCTGTGGGAGGCTCACAGCAGTCCCTCAGTCCCTCCCCTCAGTCCCTCGGCCTTGTCGACCCACACCAAGCGGCCCTCGGCGTACTTCTTTGTCACGCCCAGGACACCCTCTAAGTAAGTGATCGCCTCAGCTCAACCTAGCATCCGGCATCTCGCAATGCGAGGTCTGTGGATTTACTCTTCCGATGCATATGGCATATTCCTGTGGCTGTGGGGCGCCGGAAGCAAAGGCATGTGTATGAGAAGTGCCCACCAAGCATCCGAGTCGGAAATGCACATACGGCCGGACAACAAGCGCTGTGCAATTTGAATAAACGTCGGCGGCCGTTTTCCTGCCAGTGCACAACATGACAGTGCACTGCTGAAGTGCGTCAACCAGTGCAGAACTCGCCAAAGCTGAAGCGGCCTGCGAAGACATACTCAGCGTGCCAGCTGTTTCCGCTCAAGTGGGGCTGTACATGGCATAGTCTTGACAGCAGGGCGGTCGCCGGCAGCTGCACGTGATTAAAAGACCTGGGAGCAAGGAAGGATCCTTTTGACCAATTCTTGAAACTGGGCGTTGCAGTTGAGTTGGGGGGTCGTTCCGTCTCACTGGAGACTAGTGCACTGGTCCAGAAGTTTGTATTGCGAACTGACGGGAAAGGCACCTTTGGAAAAGGACACGCCTCTGCGTACTGCACTCACCTATTTAAACGTCGCACGGACCCGTGTAGAAACGCAGATTCTGTCTGCGAATGCGGGGAGGCAAAGGCTTGGATTGCTGTTTGGACTGAGCTCAAGGCACTCGAGCATTGTCGAGCGCGTTGAAGGTCGTCTTCTCTCCCATGCACTCCCGCGAGATTCCTTCGGAGCGCATGTCCTTGAGCCAGAATTCGGGTTGGAGCAGGACTCGCATGGTCTTAAGACAGGCCGAGGCTCTACAAGGAAGACGTGGGCACCCAGTGACCTGGCATGAAGAGAGACTCCGGCGGAGCAAACTCCTAGAAGAAATCCTCGGGGCCTCTGGTCGATGACGAGCTGAGCGACAACCAGGCCGTAGTCGGCAGCCAAGCCCTGGGAGATCCTTAGCAAAGAGATCCCTCCTCTCACTGAAGGCCCCCCAAAAAGCAGAGGCTGAGGGCACGTCCAGGTCTTCTCTGCCGACGTGCTTGGCGTATGCAGCTCGAAGCCCCCTCACATGAGCAAGGAAGTCTTGCACACAAACATAATCACCATGCCCTGTCTAACATGGCCTCGTCCCTGGTTGTCATTCCACACCCAGGTGGCCACTGTTTCCACCACCAAACCGCTGAGAACACCTGCAAAACTTAAGACGATGGACCACTGGCTTGCAAAACTGGCTCCGATGCTAACCGTCTAACATGAACAGCTCTCTCCATCCTGACCTGCGCCAGTCTCCGTCAGCATGAAGCAGCCCAGCAGTCCAGCGCTCTGGGCATCTTTCAGCCAACCTCGGTGGTCAACCCGTCAACACGCCCATCCAAAAGCACAAACTTCCATGTGTGCGACAAGCCACTTTTTTGCTCCTCGCTGCCGAGGGCGAGGATGGTACCGCAGAACAAGTTGTAGTGCACCTGCCGTTTCTCAAGTCGGAAGAAATGACGGACGGGGGCAGGCTCAGAGTGGGAAGGTTGCTGTCGGGATGCTGTCATGCGGATACCCAGGCAGCAGGAAAGGCACTCCTGCATGGATTCTTGGTCAAAGCATGCCCATTGATGCGCAAAAGGGGCCAGTGTGTCCTGTCGTGCCATGACCCGATGGCTGGCAAAGAAATCCAGCATTCCCTCTCCTGAAACTGAAGTCAGAGGCACAGCCCCCACTCTCGGGCTCGGAAGAAGCGAAGCAGAGTTAAAAGCAACGAAACATCCGTGCTCCAAGCGGCGCGTGGTGATGCTGTCCAGGCTCAGATATCCACCTGCAAAGGTAGGGTACAAACACACACATCACGGTGATCCTTGCCAAGTGCCGCAACGCTTTGAAGGGCCTCTGAGAAGAGTGCGCAAGAGCTCAGCATGCTCAGTCCAAGGGGCGTTCTCCTTGAAAACTTAACAAAGCTTGACAGTCCACACGGGGTGCGGATCGCCTAGAAGATGCACATCAACAAAACACACTCTTCAGTCAGTAGCAGTGATTTCTGTGCAGGCGAGAGTCATTCACCTGGGAGGGGTCCAAGAGCGACTGAAACTTCTTCAGCAAGCAAGTCTCTCGGCCTTGCAGATTCAGGTCTTAGGTCCTAGATGCTCGTGCTCTGACCTGGTACATACTTGTAGAGACGTGTTCGGATCAGCCCAGCGGCGGCGAAGGTCATTGCTCCTTCAAGCGCACATGCTTCGAAACGCTGAGTGTGCTCGATGATGGTCCAGCTCTAAAGAGCTGAATGCAAAGGGTTCGACACAAAACTCGGGCAAGCTGCTGCAGTCTGCTGTAGGCATCCGTTTTAGGGTCCTCGGCTGAATCCTACATCCGTTCTCAGCTTGTGTCTCACCGTGTCACCTCGAAGCCTCTCTAAGTCGCCAGCTCGCAACGAAGGAAGCCCGCCTTTCGCACGCTGCAGAACCCGGGACCATGGCCAGTGGATGGTGTCCCAGGTCAGCAGGGCCTCTGGCACAGCCCGGACCCGGTCGCTTTCTAGGACAGGGGAACAGAGCGAAAGAGACGGAGAGCGAAGGCGGTGAAAGTGCCTGCGTCGAGGCCACAATGGCAAAGGCCTCAAGCGCTGACTTCAGAAGCAGTCACAGCCACGTATTGTGCCAGATACATTTACATGTCTAAGACAATCGTTGCATGGACCCGTTGAACTTGGCCATTCGGGCAAAGTGTCCGTGACAAAGGTGCCGAAGGCCAAGGTTGCAGTTGCCCACGGAGGCAGCACTGCCTGGGGAAGTTTGGCTGCAGCTGCTTCATGTTCGCTTGAAGAACAATTCCGTAGAAGCTCCGGTAAACAGGCATCACATTGCCGAGGCGCGAGGACGGCAGACAGAGTGGCCTCATCTGCTCACAGGCAACCAGCTGAACAAATAGGCTTCTTTGACCTTGCCCTGGCGAGCTGTGCACCCTTGGCGGCGTTTCTAGCAGATAGCTGACTTTGGTGCTACCCAGAAGACAATTAGAGAAGGAAGGCGTGGATGCTTCCTACAATGGCCTTCAAGCTTCCTGCTTACAGCTCGTCACAGTGGCCTCTTCCATGGGCAGCGCGGTCCAGCCATGGGATGCGAGGCCAGTCTCCATTTTGTAGTAATTAATAATAGTGACAGAAAGAATTTAATGAGGTCGCTCAGGCTAGACAGCTGGTATTGGTGTTGCAGTGCAGCTCTGTATATTGGCCCTCCGGCAACATCTGTCGAAAGAACTTTGTGTTCTCGCGCAATGTCGCAATACAGCCGTCCGTGCAATGCAATCTTAATCACAGCTGCTGCGGTGCACTGCGCCACCTCCGAAAGCATGATCACGAATCACCGCCACTGGGAGAAACCACGAACTTGCCGGGTTGTGCGCTGCACAAGCTTGGCAAGTGGCATTATCGATCCACGGCAGGCTTCGCGACTCCTTCGATCCCTGAGTGTGCAAGGAGGGCTGCTCACGTCCTTGTGACTCCATCACAAGCTAACCCATCAGAACCGTGAACCATGGTCTGCAAACGCTCGTCGAAGGCAGCTGTTTGTGTTGAGATCCGCACCACCCTGCCCGACTCAGGAAGAACCTGGTTGGGGCTTGAGAGATGGGGGTTTCCGAAAATAGGGACCCTAATATAGCACCCCAAATAATAGGATCCTTATTATAAGGACCCCAAAATAAGGTACCCCTAATTTTCGGAAACTCCCAGATAGAAATCTCAGGCTTAGCCTTTAGGGTCCAGGATTTTTCCCTGAAGGCCGGTTTGGAATCTTTCCGAAAATTCGGGTACCATATTTTGGGGGTCCTTATAATAAGGATCCTACTATTTAGGGTACTATACTAGGGTCCCCTATTCTCGGAAACCCCCAATCTGAGCAACTGCTGAGCCGCTTGCTGGGAAGGGTGGTGCACGAGTGAAGCACTCGCCCGAGAGCCGAGGAAGGATCTGAGTGCGAGCTGATACCGGGGCTTATCATATTCTGTATTTCTCATGTTCTAGTATATTGTACGTATTGTATATTCTGTATTTCTCATATTATAGTATATTGTACGTATTGTGTTCTATCATGTTGTACTATTGTATGTTATTTGAATTTCGGGGTGCCTTGTGCAACCTTGTAACAAGAATCCTATACTCTCTCGTGTCTGTTTCAAGGGTACCGTATTCTCAAGTCTGCAACTCTCTCGTACTACACAATCTTAGCCTGATCTGCACAGCTCTGTCGCCACAGGCTCTACCATGGCGGCCCGAGTCTCAAAAAGTGAGGTTCTCAGGACAACGCCGGCACCGCATTACCAGCTCGATCTGACATGACCTCCAAGGACAAAGAGGTTTCTATTACATCATACGATATTGAATACGTTACTGTAATACATTCACACTATTTTACATGAATATTAAGTTGCAGTATATATTATGTTGCTATTGAAGCATCAAGGGTGGAAGCCCCAGCAAAGGTACGGCAGACGGCTCACCTGCTTGCGGCCTTCCCATGGCTGTGGGAAGAAGCAAACAGCAGCGCATTGAGCCACGACTTTGCAGGGGTTCACGGATATTTTGGGGGTTGCTAAAAACTATGGGCCCTTTTGGGGTCTGTTTTGTAGTATATTTCCTTTTTATAGTTTAGGGGACCTAAAGGGGCCCATAATTTTGATCAACCCCATTTGGACCATGAAGTGTCTGGCCTGCACCCAGCGGATGCAGGGCTGGAGCAGCATTCTTCTCAAATGTTGAAACAGCCGAGGGTGACCATTTTTCGAAGTAGCGCTCTTCATATGCAAGTGCTGCATGGACGGGTTCATTAATGGCAATTCGCGCAGCTAAACCTTCCGAGTTCGCCCCGGCCAACACAGACTGCTGCCAGTTGCAGCTCTCTTACGTCGTGTAATTGAAACGTACAGGCCTATAAATAGGGGCCCAACTCGGATGCCGAACATACGCTTGTGCTCTACTCCTGAGACCTTTGGGAAGCGGCGAATTTCATGTTAGGGTTCAGGGAAGCCGTAAGTATGTGCTTTGCGACAACGATTATTTCTCACAAAGTCTTTCTGTTGCTTTCACGTGTTGTGGCACTCCCACTACTCCACCACTTCCAGACATGATGTCTGCCTTAGCTGATTGCAGTGGCCAGAATTTCAGGAGGGGCTTTTGTGGTTGGAATCCTACAACGGACAGGTACACAAACTACTGGGTAGCAATTCGGAAATTCCAGCCGGTGACATTTTGGCGATCGCTAGGCTGCTACAAGCTCGACCACCAAATCTTGGCCATGCAAGAGGACAGGCTGGAGCCCCGATGGCCAAAAAGCTATGTGCTCAGGCTGTCCAAGGCCCTATGCGACCACCGAGGCCAGCGTTGTCCTCGCTAGCCCTCCTACTGGGCACCGCCAGCTGCCAGCCTTTTGGCACAGATGACAATGCATGAGGTTGAACGTCTGCAATGCTGGGCAACACCAGCACGACCCAGACCAATCTACAACGCGTCAGAGCATGGTTCATGCTTTTGTTCAGCACGCAAACAGATTAAAGAAAGATTATCCACGCCATGCCTATGATCCACAGCTATGACTGCAACAAGAGGGTCGAGATTGGTGTGAGTTAATTGTCAAGCAATGTCAAGCCCCTCGTCGCCTCACAGCCTTTCTTGACTCAGAGTTCCTGCATATTGACACCTAAGTGATATCTGAAAGTGTGGGGCCACAGGGTTTACTCGACCTACATGGCGCACGGCCTCGCAAGGCAAGAAAATTAAATGCCCCGGCAGGGCCTGCAGAAAGGTTCGTTTGCTCCAAAAGAGATCACTGCGACACTTACCGAGAAAGTCCGGCAAGGAAGCAGGTCTTACACGCGCGGCTGCTGGCCGCATCACCCCTGCGATGAGAGGAGGCTCTTGTGACGGAGAGAAGTATCGAAATCTATAATGTTATACTGCTTTGTATTAAAATGTTATATTATATTATACTAAATGAGATCATACTATACTATAAAATTGTATTACATTATAGTATATTATTCTTTGTTCTGATATGTATATATATATATATAGTCATATTCTACTATGTTACATTATCGTATATCATATTTTACTATGGTGATATGCATATAGGGTTTAAGGTTTAGGGAGCATATATTGTATTGTATGCTGCAGGACCAAAAGCAGCTCAGAGCAGCTCTTGGGTTCCGGGGAGCTGGCCGGAGCCTCCTTGGAAGCCCTTTCGAAGCCCGAATTTCTAAAGCGGCTTAGGGGTTTAGGGTCTAGGGTTGAGGGTTGAGGGTTGAGGGTTGAGGGTTTAGGGTTTAGGGTTTAGGGTGGTGGTGAAAGCCCTGAAGGGCCTGAGGCCATAAGCCCTCCCCCCCGCCACCCCCCTCCGCCTCACATCACTGGGTTCGCGACTCGGATGGCTGGAATGGACATGGCAAGTCCTGCGAAGGATGTACGAGCTAGCACGAGGCGCTGCAGTTTCAGGCGGGATCCTCAGCTTTGGGTGAGAGCCACGGAGAGACCGTCGGCGAAAGGTCAGCGGCAGGCCTTGGGCCGCCCATGGAGCACTCGTCTCGTCCGCGCTCTGAGCAACGCAACCCATGGGCTCCCCACGCTTTGGCCCAGGGTCCTGCAGCAGATTTCTGCTCTGCAGAGTGCGCTTGGAATGTGAACAAAGGTTGGTGTTCAAAAGACTGCTGTTGTTCCGGTGTCTGCTTCTGTGCGTCCTTTGGGGTCAAAAGGGCTTCGGTTTCTGACTACTCAGGATCCGTGAAGCTGGCTCATGCTTCCGCGGTCCCATGATATACCATGATATACAATCATATGTTACAACATACGATGATATACTATATTCCGCTATAGACTGCAACATCATGCAAGATACAGTGCAGACCTGGACTCAGCATGCATTGGCGGTGGCTGACCCCGTGGCTCCTGGAATTATCTGCCTCGAGGGTATCGGGGTGTGCACCTGACACCAATGTGCACGATGCAAGTCCGGCATGCGACCATAACCCTTGCAGAAGGCGCGCCGCCGCACGACTCCAAGAACAGACGGCCGGCACATCAGAAACCTGCGTGCGACGGGCGACAGGAGAGTAGCGAGTCTGCTCTATCAAACGCTGACGTCTCATGGTGGCAAAGCGGCTTGCGGAAGAGATTAGCACGACTAGTGTTACTACTATGATTATTTCTATTCTTGTTACGCTTAATGTTACTATGATTGCTATTACCATTCTTATTACTATTCAGGAATTCTTCTTACTCTTATGCAGCAAAAGTGTTACTCTGCAGGCTGGCTCTCGGCGCTCTGGGCCCAAGCGAGCTGAAGTCACTTGGCCTAAAGGCTCAAGAGCGATTTGCCCCGAGCATCGCTGTGCGCCACATATCTGGGTAGTTCTCAAAATTAGGGTCCCTTTTTGGGTCCCCAATATAGTACGGCACCCTGATAAAAAGGACCCTAAAAGGGACCCTAATTTAGAGAACTACCCATCTGGGGACCTGAAACTTCTCTACTCTTTTCATAGAGCCTAGGAACGTGCCAGATCATCTTAGCTTCGAGAAGTCTGCACCGCCATATACTCTGTGCTTTTTGGTCTTGGTAAGGTAGTTGGACTCCATAGGTTGCAGGCCCCAGAGTGCAAGTGCAAGGTGTGCAAGAGCCGTGGCAAGCCGAGAGAGCCACTTAGAGGCTGCAAGCTCAAGCTGCTAATGCCAAGGTCACGTAGTCTGTTTCAAATCCTCGAATTCCACCACCCCTACACTCCTCTGCCCTGTCATGGGTGAGGAAAAAGGGCTGTGCAAACCATCCGCTAGGTCTATGGCCGCGCCTGTACAACTTCTTGCGAGATTTTCGAGGCCGGACAAAATAGTCCCGCAGCACTGTCCCCAAACCCTTGTCAAACACCAAGAGCCGGCAACAAGAAAAGAGTAGCCCCTGGCCAGGCTTATGGCCAACGCCATTTGCGGGCGGGAGGGACAGAAGGCACAGGGCTGTCTGCAGGCACTTCTGAGAATGGGTCTTTCCACTGACCTGAGACTGTTCAGACGGTCCAAGCCCGGAGATGACAAAAAGAACGGCGTCTGGTCAGGACGAGGGGCGCTCCTCTTCAAAGACACTTGTCCATTGTATATCATCCAGAATTGCCTTCACAGCCTCGTTGAACTTTGCCAAATCTCCGAAGGCAGTCTGGATGATGTCTAGCATTTTCTCCTCCCGCACTCTCTGTGAGCTTGACCACTACTCAACAGCCGTTCCTTGGATCTACGAAACTCACCAGGCATCCTTCGTCTGTGAACGTGGATAAGATGGTGCAATATACTGTGATATACCCTAACATACTATAATACACTAGTAAATATTGTAACATACTGCAACTTACTCATATGGGTGGTTGTCAAAATTACGGTCCCTTTTTGGGGTCCTTATTATAATACGGCACCTATTATCTAGGGTACCCCAAAAGGGACCATAATTTCGACAACTACCCATATGACTTACTATAATATACTCTAGATCGACCCTGGTCTGCTCCTTGTCTTCCTGGTTGAAGCAGTCCTGGGAAGGCAAGGACGATGCAGTTTGAGAAGGCTTTCATCCCTGAATATCCAAAATAGTATAGGAAGTTATTAGAATATCTACCTATACTCTTTTCGGGGGTTCCTTCTTATAATTATTCGACGCCGAAGGCGCGCAATCCATGACGTCAAAGTTCAAGAATGACGCCTTCAGCTTCTGCCGATCTTCTTGCTCATGACCTGCAGAGCCAGCAAGGGCACGGTAGCGACAACCCGATATGGAAAGTGATGAAGGGCAACTGGTCCAAGAAGTGAACAAAATCAGTCGGGGACCACGTCGCAAGACAGGGATGATGTTGATCTCGTGAAGATTGCCTCCAATATGAACCTTGCAAATCGCTCGGTGAGGCGGCTTCGGGGCCACAAGGCGGAGGCCGAGAAGCAAAAGTGAAGAGCTCAACGATACACCACAAGCGACCTCAGAGCAAGACCAAGAGATACATATATAGTATATGTACTACATATACTATATATACTATATAAACTATATATACTATATATACTATATATACTATATATACTATATATACTATATATACTATATATATATATATGTACTCTATATATATATATATATACTATATATGAGGCCATGACCACTTTTGTTACTATTCTTTTCCTCTCGGAGCCCTAATCAGGTTCCTATACTTGTACCTGGCACCCCTAGCTTAAGGTGCCGCTCCCCTCCGTTTCAGCACAGGCTCTGAGATACGTAGGACCACAAAAGACGACCAGCTCGGAACAGCCGCTCAAGAAGATCGGCAGACCTGGGTTTACGGTCTAGGCTTTACGGGTTCAGGGGTTTAGGGGTTTAGGGTTTAGGGTTTAGGGCTTTACGGGTTCAAGTAGAAGTGGCGCGCTGCAAAAAGCCAACACGCTTTGGTCGCCTCTAAGGCTTGATCCAAGTGACACCGCAAGTCTGCCTCAATGTCGTTCTGGTCCTTAAAAATCTGACAGCCGCGCGTGCAACCCCCTCCTTTACAGCTTCGCAGCAACTGAGAGCAGGTCAATGCAGCACTTGTCGAACCAAATATTGGGAGCACGCTGCCTTTGCCGAGACAGGATGAGATGAGCTCGATGTGATGAGTCCAGTGCCTGCTCTCCTCGAACTTGGACTTCCACCAGCTCAATGCTTCCTGAAGGACTTTCATCGGATATGCTGAGCCTTGTGGCACATGTGCCCGAAACTCTGCTTCAGCATTGGCATGTCAGTCGTAGCAGTCAATGGCAAAGCACCCACTTAGCAGGAGCATCATCATGCCAAGAGTGGGAGACGAAGGCATCACCTTGCACTCAGCCGCTGCAGGCATGAAACTCTGCGCGGGAAGCTTCTGCAGGGCTGCAGAACTCCAAGGCACATGTTCCAAGCTTAAAGCCGCGCGAGAGCTGGAAGACCTGTGGACCTAGGAAATCTGGGCAATGAGAGATCTAGAGATGAGCCTCTACGGCTGCAAGGGCCCATGCATGTCTGAAGCTTACGCCGGGAGTTTCCAACTGTTCGGGCTTGAGGTCCCAAAGTGTTCTGCACCTCCACTCCTGCAAATAGATGATAGATAGATAGATGGATAGATAGATAGGTAGAGAGATAGATAGTATATATATATAGTATGTATAGTATGTATAGTATGTATAGTATGTATAGTATGTATAGTATGTATAGTATGTATAGTATGTATAGTATGTATAGTATGTATAGTATGTATAGTATATATATATAGTATATATAGTATATATAGTATATATAGTATATATAGTATATATAGTATATATAGTGTATATAGTGTATATAGTGTATATATAGTATGAATATAGTATGTATAGTATATGTATATAGTACCAGCCTGCAAATCGGAGCCCTTGGGTTCCGACTTGGCTTGTTGTTTGCCAGCTCGTCTTGACTGAGCCTCGCAGATTGAAGCGAGGAAACCTTGATGGAAGCATAACAGACTTGTCAGGAGACTCCAAAACCCCTCAATTAAGGAACACACCTTAATTTACAATAGGATCCCTAATATGATTTGAGGTATATTCCTTAATTAAGGGGTTTTGGAGTCTCTGGGTTCTCATGACGCCTGGAGAAGTCCACACAGCGAAACCGCTTTTTGGCTTGAGTCATGACCTGAAAGGGAGGAAAACATGGAGTACGCTCCAGTCTGCGAGAGCAGCCCCTGCAGGTGTACCTCGTGGATGGAGCAGTTGCCCACTAGACCAGCAATGCCCGCCGCTGCAGCGCGGTTCTCCCGGTAAGAGAAGAAGTTGGCAACAGAGCCCTGCCGGTGGTTCTGCCGATGCTCTCATATTAATGTCTGATTGGAGCTCTGCTTCTCCGACACCACATGATCGGCAAGCAAGAACCCACACAGAGGGTTGCTCGCGATCCCGCCAAAAAAAAGCTTCGACGAGTTTTGAGGTCTCAATCCTCCAGAGCGACAGTAGATCCGGCCTGAATGCTGCTGCGGAGCTGTCTCGTGCGCGCCATCGCCATTGATGGAAGCATACCGACCAGGCGCATGCTTATCGGGTCGATTCTCTGGATGAGTATGCCGACCTTAGGAAAAGCAGGTATATGGGTAGTTCTCTAAATTAGGGTCCATTTTTAGGTCCCCAATATAGTACGGCACCCTTATAAAAAGCTTGAAAATCTCCAAGAACTGCTGCTGAGACTAGGCCGGGTCACTGCACTGCATTTGACAAGCACAGCCACGATTTCCTGGGCATGAAATACGGAGTAAGCTGGACTCAGTCAAACATCTCTGCGCACCCGCACGGCAGTATAGCTGTTCAGCACAGGGTGCACATGATATCACTTTGCAATGCTGCCGCTCTTCTCGCAAACCAGATCATGCCGTTAATTGTTCCAATTAACTCGCTTCGCAAACATGCTCACGAATCATCGTCCCAACCAAGTCTCAATCGACAGAAACAGCGAAATGATAAACCACATCATCCTGACGGAGTCAGAGGCTGGAGAAGTTGGAGAAGGCTGGAATGTGACTTCAGTCTCTTGCAAGCATGCGACATACTGGTGTCCAAATTCCATCGGAGCTAGCACACACGGTCACAGGTACCTCTTTTGCGAAGTCCCCTGCAGGCTACGGCTTGCCATCGCTCCTCTGCATACGCGTCACATCATGAAGTAAACCAACAAGGAAGTTCGCCACGATCACGAAGGCCAGTGCTGCCATTCGCCTAAGGCTCCCTATGGTGCAGCAGTCCCTGAGTGGTCGACTTGCTGCGCATGCGCCAACACAGAAAGATCACTGCCTGCGTCCACGGCACAAGCAGACCTGAACGAGGCTCATGTCGCAGCCAATAACTGGCATTTCAAAACCGTACCTTGCACCACCAGGACTGTGGGCACTGTCGCTACACTACGGCATGGCCGAACAAATCACCCAGAGACTCCAAAACCCCTTAATTAAGGAATATGCCTTAAATCATATGAGGGATCCTATTATAATTTAAGGTATATTCCTTAATTAAAGGGTTTTGGAGTCTCTGGGCAGTTGATGGGGCAGCGCGCTTAAGCTTTCGACAAGCAGCATACTGCATTCACCAGTTCTGCGCTTCTCATTGGTTTGCCACAGTGTCGGTCCCACGAGGAAGACGGCCTTAAAGGAGCCCTTAAAGGACACCTGAAAAGTCCGGAGCCCCCCACCGCAGCACTCGAGTAGCGAATAAGCTACTAAGCAGTAACGGCCAAGGGTTCAGGGTTTAGGATGTAGAGGTGGCTGGATCCTGATAAACAGACCTGCATCATGCAGACCAACTCCACCCGATGACGCGTCAGCTAATCTTGTCCAAGCTTCGGCCAGCATCGCAACCAGACCAAGTTGCATCAATGCCTTACCATTTCAGCGCGCCAACAGAGCACTTTTACACTACTCGTGATGGTGGCAGTGACTAGCAAATTATTAGCAATTTGCAACAGCAATAGTAATTCATGAACACTGCAGACATTAGTAAAACCCTTCTTCGTGACTTGCTCTTGCAAAACCCAGTGCGGCTGAGGCGCCAGTCGCGTCAGGGTAATGTCATCCGCGAGGGGAGCAAGGCAGACAAAGCCGATTTGAAAGAGATAAAGCAAGACTCCGAAGATGGCCTCATAGGGGTTTGTAAGGTTTTTAGGGTTTAGGGTTTAGGGTTTGTAAGGTTTTAGGGTTTTAGGGTTTAGGGTCAACTAAACCATCATAAATACTTGGAGGATCATGGGACTTCGTAACTAGGGTTATAAATAAGGTAACTATAATTATAACCCCAATTAGGGTACTTATAACCTTACTTACTAAGTCCCATGATCCTCTAAGTAGGGTTCCGAAGATGGCCTCATAAGGGTTTGTAAGGTTTTAGGGTTTAGGGTTTAGGGTTTAGGTTTTGGGGTTTAGGGTTTAGGGTTTAGGGTTTAGGGTTTAGGGTTTGTAAGGTTTTAGGGTTTAGGGGTTGAATTTCAGGGCTTAGGGATTAGATTTCAGGGCTTGTAGGGTTTAGGTTTGGGGCTTAGGGTTTAGGGAAACCAAAAAATTTAGGGTTCAGGGTATCTTTGACAAAAGTAGAGGACTCCTGGGATGGCCTCAAGGTGTAAGAAACTCGCATCTCACGAAATCTGGGGGGTCTCCAAAATTAGGGTACCTTGTTTTGGGGTCCCTATAATAAGGATCCTACCACCATTTAGGGTACTATAGAAGTCTGTCTTTGGGGTCCCCATAATAAGGATCCTACCACCATTTAGGGTGCTTTAGAAGTCTGTCTCAGGCTTCTCTCCTGCCTGGTCGAAGTATTTCGCCGTGGTCAGTTCCTTCGCCTCCTCCAGGATCTCTTGGCGGCTGAACTCGAAGATCACACACGCCTCAGATATAGTGGTGTAGGGTATAGAGTTGAGGGTTTAGGGGTTAGGGAGTAGAGCATAGCATAGCATAGTATGGTACGGTGCAGTACAGAACAGCATAGCATAACATAGCACAGTATGTAGAGTAGAGTACAGTATAGCATAACGTAGCATAGTGTAGTATAGTATGGCACAGTATGGTATAGTATACTGTCGTATAGTACAGTACAGTATAGTATAGTACAGCATAGCATAGCATAGCATAGCATAGCATAGCATAGCATAGCATAGCATAGCATAGCATAGCATAGTATAGTATAGTATAGTATAGTATAGTTTAATAGAGTAGAGTAGAGTATATTGTAGTGTAACAGAGTAGAGTAGAGTATAGTATAGTGTAGTGTAGCGTAGTGTAGTATAATTTGATAAACTACAACATAATATAGTAAACTAATGACTGAGCACGACGGAAGGTATCAAGCGAGCAAAGCTTGGTTGTCTCGTCAAGGGGCGGAACAAATCAGCCCCAACAGCAGTAGAGAACCCGACACTCTGCAGCGTGTCTTGCCCAGCACACGCCGACCTAGGCTCTCCGAATTTGCATGTGCCATGCTGCGGCTATCTGCGATTCTCATGCCGTAAGATCTGTCATATCACCTTTGGCAGGATTGCCAGCTGAAAGACCCTTCGCACAACAGAGGCCCGCGCCGTTGGTGAGATTGTGCCTCATAAGAGCTAGTTTCGTTGCGCTTCGCGTCAGCACCGTCCTTGTCGCGCTGACTGCCATTTCCTCATGCCAAAGCAGCCCGTCAGAGCTTGGAATAACGAATAAAAACACAGAAGCCTAAACCCTAAACTACGAACTCTAAACATCTCTAAACTGTGTACCCTAGATAAACCCCAAACGGCCCCAGAGGCCCCAAAGCTTGGGGGGAAGCCTTGCAAACCAAGGCACCGAGCTGCTGGAGTCTGACACTTCGCTATCCGAGATCTCAGACGTCGAGGCATCCTCCATGCCACTCCCGGACTCATCAGAAGAAGAAACGGTCCTGGGTTTAGGGTTTTTAGCGTTTCTTAGGGTTTAGAGCTTTACTACCCCTGTTCCGTCTGCCCAAAGGTCAGACTCGGTTAGACTGAACGCCAGGTTGGCCGAGGCTGCTGGCCTGCACACCTCTCACCTCCACCTCCCAACTAAACCATCATAAATAGTTGGGAGCTAGGATTAGGGGGACCCTTGGGGATATAGACCCTCTCAATAAGGTCCCCTTTAAGAGAGCCAAAAGTAGGGTTCAGAAGGGGTACCATTTAAGGGGTACCCCTAATAGTACTACCTAATAGTCAACCCTCAGGGCCTAGGGTTTAGCGCTTAGGGAGGCAAGGCTAGGCATGATGGAGCTGAGGTCAGGACCCGCACTTGCCATGCGCAAAGGCCATCGGGCCACCGGATGCCAGGAGGCCCAGTGCAGGTAGTGCAGGCATGGCCAACTGCTGCGATGTCAACTGCGACTGCACATGGAAAGGTGTCAAGGCTTACTGCTGCGTTAGTCTGTTTAGGTGCACAGACACGAGGAATGGCTCGACTTCAACAGATCAAACGCATGAAAGGTTGAGCCAGACTCTCACGCATCTGCTTGAATGAAAAAGACGAAAACCCTTGTCTGCTTGAAGCTGCAGGCAGTTCGCACCACGGCTCGGCACGGTGTGGTCACGGACTCCTACAAGAAATGTCAGATGTGCTGCCAAGACAAAACACCTGCCCCCTCCCGAATCCGAATTCACCGTATGCGACCAGAAGAGACTGAGAAGCTCCTGCATCATTGAGAAAGCTTCTGCAGACTGGCCAGGTCTCGCGGCTAAGGTTGGCGGAACCTGAGAAAGACTCTGTGCAGGTAGCTTCGTGCAACAGCGGAACAGGGCCCATGCTGCCAGCACAGCAGGTGCTGTGGCCTGCTTTGGGCAAGGGTGTCTGGGTTTCTGGGCAGCTGGGTCTAATCATCTTGGGCACATGCTGTTGAGCCCCTTGCCAGCGGAGCAACCCATGCTGGTGGTGGGACCGACGTAAGTGGCAGATCCTGAGAAACTTGCACAATAGTCAAAGTAGTCAGAAGATTCTTCACGTGGCATGAAGCACCATGCCTCCCCGCGAATGCGCTGGACCGAAAGAGCCGCACTGCGAGTGCCAACTGGTGGGCGCCTACAGAGCGTGGCGCGGGTTCTCCGCAGAATTCTGTTCGAGGACGCAAAACTCCCACCAGGACTCCACAAGCGCAGATGTCAAGCTTCGATTTGGCTACCCGCTAGCCAAGCCCCAGGCCGATCTTCCATCAGAGCAGCCGCCTGTCGAACACATCGACACAACACGCAAAGTCCGTCGCAAAACGCGTGTCAGCCCCTGGAAGTGTAGGACAACAGGTCCCTCCTCACGCACACTAGATAGAAGACTAAGACGTGAGCTACAGAAGCAAAGCCAGGGTGTAGCCGTGCAGCCTCTGCTGTGTAGAACGCTGGCGTGACTGCAGCTCCTGCTTGTAGACCGGATTCTGCAGAAAGGCTGAAGAAATGCCAACACGCGGCCGGGCCCCAGGCCTGCAGTAGCCACCGGTGAGGGACCTTGACTTGAACATACTTGAACTAGGAGCGAGAGGGCATTTCTGGCTCTGGGAAATTCGCAAGAGGCCTACGTCCTAGTACTAGCGCTGAGGCGAGGACTCGTGACTCGAGGGGTCGGGGGAGAGGTGGGCGAAGCCTCGGTGGAGCTTTGAGACTCTCTTGCGAGCTTTACGCAGGACTACGAACCGAGACCAAGCGACAGCTTGGATGAAGGGCCTCATGTGCACCATAGGAGTCGCCTGGGCTGAGAAAGCTGAAGCTCTGCGCAGTGCAGCCCAGTGCAGCCCAGGGGTGGCTCTTGGTACTTTTCGACGAGGCGCAGGACTCGAAGGCGGAGGGCTCAAAGTGCGAACCAGAGGAGCGACTTGAGCACCTGCTCAGGAGGCCATCTCCATCTCCCAGAGGGAAAGGGAATCGCTGGAGTCGCCCTCTGCATCTACTTGCCTCTGTTGCCCGATCTCGGAGTTTGCGGGGCCCGCATCAGCCGTGTCGAAGCTGTGGCTGGTGTCACCGCTGCGACTGCAGTGACAGCAGCTGCTGCGCCTGGTTCGTGCGGCAACAGTGCGAGTCGTCTTGCAGTGTCAACGCCGAGCCTGAGGGTGATGTGGCCCGCCGCACCCGAGTTGCGGCCTCGTTGCGACGGTGTCTGCATGTGCTGGTCTGACTGCACAGTCGGCTAGATGCTTTTCTGTTTTTCAAGCACGCACATGTTCGGTGTGGTTTCGATGGTCACTCTGCAATGCGCACCTAGCTAGAGGTGCGGAAAATGAACAAACGATGCCGGGCATCTCGTCGCCCGAGTTTAGAAAACCGACGGGCCCTGGAGAACCCTGATAATCCAGCTCCTCAGGGCATGCTTTGATCAAACTTTCAAAGGGATAAGCCTCACCGAGCGCTAAGAATCAATTAAAGGCCACTTCAGCAGGCGCCGACTCAGTCAGGTCGACTTCTTCCTCAGAAAGCTCTGGGCCGGTGAGAGGAACGTTAAAGGGTTTAGGGTTTAGAGTTTAGGGTTTAGGGTTTAGGGTGCTCCTTCAAGAGAATCGCTTGCAGGAGAGTCTCTTGGCTCGAATCACGTAGACTGGATCTTGAAATCCAAGGCGGCACAAGGGGCTTGACAAATCCTTATACCACAAAGCTCCAGCTCGCTGCTCGTACGCTCTGACACCCGCTCTGCCTCGCCCTCTCTGGCAATCAAGGAGCCAAAGCTTCAGGCTCCTCGAAGGAGCCAGCATAGTGCCTCAAGCCCAATATACGGTGCACGGTCGAGGTTTCACTCCGGCTTGCCCGAACAGCCAGGGTGCATGTAGCTACCGTAGATGAGCACCTTGTCAATCACTTGACCAAGCGACCGTGACATGCGGACGTTTTCAGTTTCCAAAGCCGCAAGAAACTCTGAATCCCAACATGCCTGACAGATACGACAGCATGTGATTATGCTATGCATTGTCCGAAAAAACACTTAAATCATGAGTTCACTGTCTCGCTGCATACCAGTAGAAGCTGCTTAGAGACCTTTGCCAGCTCGCTACCGGGATACCCCATTAAATGATGATTTAGTTGCGTAGGGTAAACACCGGTAAAGAAGTCGGTTCCTACCAGGTTCGAAGGAAAGCTTTTCTAAATAAGTAGATCGCCCATTGACCGGTGGCAGATTTGATTGGCCTTCGGGATTGTAAGCTCCTAACCTTCTCTGGGGATCTTATTAGAACTAGGTTGTACTGCTCTACTCTTACGACAAATTTACCTTGAAGTTCAGGACTTGCAAGGCCAACAATAAAATCAGGATTTAAAAAGCAGCATTTAATTGGAAGTCTTGGGAGCTATGTCCGAACCTTGAGCGGGTATCTTGTGAGATTCAGGAGCAAGATAGAGCAAGCTGGCGACACCGCAAAATCATGATTCAACTGTTGATGTTGGGTGTCCAAACATGTAATGACAACCTCTTGATTGATTCAGCTCGTCTCGCCAAGTCAAGCCTGCTAAGCATGGTCTAGCCGCCTGGCCTAGCCGAGCCTATGATCTATGATAGAAGCCCAGAAAGTTGGAACATGACTATGCTCATGCCCTCAAGTTAGAGCGTAAGGAATCCTAGCACCAGTCATCCTTAACCCATGTTTCAACTTGCTGGGGTTCGCAGTAGCTTTGTCCAGTCCAGTCCAGTCGGTTTGTCTATAGTAGCTTCCCGTAGACACACCTGCACACAATGCAGTACACAAACAACAATGCGGACCTTGCATCGCGTAGCCCGCCTTGGACCTTGAGCCTGAAACAATGGTCTCGAGAGGCAATGAAATGATGATTCAATCGTTTCGTGCGTGCCAACTCTTTGAGACAATTTAAAGTCCGATTTGGTTGCATTCAGGTTTGGTGATTGACTCAGATGCATTAAATCTGGATTTAATTGTCGTCCATGGTTGATAGTGTAGGAGAAAGAATGAAATCCTGATTTAATTGTGGCGTCTAGGTAGCAGGACTGGCATGGAATGGAGCGCCGCGCAGCGTTCAAGAGCCAAGTAAATCATAAGTAAACTGTGCTGGGCCTCAGGGGTCCAAGACGGCCCGATGCCGGGCAATAAACTCCGGAGATACAAGTAGTTTTGTTTAACTCTTGGATTCACTGCCTTCTCTGAGTACATCAGACCTTGATCGTGGAACCGGCGGGCGACCGTCTGAGATCCCCACATGCTCCAAATCACCAGTTTGCAGCCAGATATTCACTGCCTGAGGTTGCCACAACAATCAGCTTTTGCGGTACGAACCGCTTCGTCTTCTGTCTGATGAACAACTCCCTACTTCCAGCCCTAAACACGCGTCCGCCTTGGTGGGGAAACATCGGTTGCTGGTGGAGAGGATGACCATTCCACCCGGCTTCAGGACTCGACCGACCTCCTTCATCACCTCCCAAGAGGAGAGGATGCAGCTTGAGCGGAACAAAGCCGACGGGAGAGAGGCCTCAAGGGGCTTGTTCAGATAATCGAAGGACACCGTGCAGGTGACAATGTCGAAAGTCCTGGACAGTGAAAAACCCCAAGCTTGCTCCCACCGTGCTTTTGGTACCAGGATGCCATCTTACCATATTCCCTGCTTGGCTGAAAGCCACAGAGATCTGATCTGAGGGCTCTTCGAGTCATCGTACGGCAGCTTGGGATTGTCGTTCAGGTCCCGGACCTGAAACTGGACCCGAGAAGCAGTAGAGGACGGCTTGGAGTTGACAAGTCAGTGGACCTAGACGCTTTTAGGGTTTAGGGTTTAGGGTCTAGGGTCTAGGGTTTAGGGTTTAGGGTTTAGGACGAGCTCTGAAGTCGTTCAACCTCATTCAATCCAGCTGCTGTGTAGTCGTCCGCCTGTTTGTTCTGAGCCAGCTCATACTCCTCGATCGCGTCTGCCGCTAACGTGTTAGAGAAAGGGAGATTCTGGCCGAGTTGCATTCATACCAGAAATGGACACCTGGGATTAGGCAAGCAGGCCTGCCTGAATGGTGGACACACCCCGACTGTCCTCGACTCCAGGATGCTCCCATGCTCCCCTTCTGTCATACTGTGCCCAGCGGCATGTGACCATGTCTTTTCCGTCGGATAATGGCTGATCCAGCTAGAGCAAATATCCTGAGATGCAAGGTGCAACGCACTTAGATCGGTCCAGAATGCCGCATGCTCTTCCGCTTACTGGAAACACGAGCTGTGCTCTGAAAAACTCGTGTCAGGAGCCGGTCGGCTTGAGTGACGTTCACTTTGGACTGTTGTTCGCTGAATCTTGTACGAAGCTCTCGTTCAGTGAGTGTCTCTGGCCCCGGTGCTTACAGTTGCACTTGAGAAGCTGCAGTCCACGCACCCCCGAGTGCAGCTGGGAGTCAAGAATTCGTGCCTTAGTTGAAACTCAAAGAAGCGAAGGTGGCTTGGCAGAGCGTAGCTCCACGTCATGCGCGAGCTGCATTTGGAAATAGAGGAAAGACTTCCCCATAATGCTTCGTCAGGGTTGCGATGAAATTGTCCTTGGCATCGGCAGGACGATTTTCAAGCAAAGTGAACGAACTTTCAGGCGTTCACCCGGCTGCATCACGAATGCAGTTGGTATCTGCACAGCAAGTAGACCCAACTCCGACAAACTCACCCGGATTTCGAGCTTGCCCCTCACCGTCCCAATTCAGCAAAATGTCATCAACATGTGTACAAATCCTGGGCTGCGAGTAGAACCCGTTGTCCGACGACTCATCTTGTCGGGCGAAGTCTGCCTGATCCCACTCACACAAGCCATAATAAAAATACTTTCATACATATTATTAGTTATAACTAGAGAATATTATTATTTTCTAGAATTTATCTATGCTACCAACAATCCTGGCAGAGCGCAAAAGGTGTCTCAGGATCTCCTGGCCTCCGTGTAAGGCCACTCTGCAGGCCACTGCACCTTTCAGGTTCCGCACCCGAAACCCCAAACCCTAAGCCCAAAACGTAAAACCCTAAGGGTTTAGGGTTTAGGGTTTCCTTAAACCCGAGACCCTAAACCCGAAACCCTTAGCCCTAAAGCCCTAAACCCAAATTCCGACATGTCTTCGTTGCTTCCTGCCTTCCTGAGCAGCTCCGGAGCGTCGCCCGCCACGACGAAGGATCCTGGCCAGCCGCCCTGGATGCCAAGGTCCGAGCGTGGAAAGGTGACGAGTCTACATGCATTATAGAAAAAATATATGGACACATGTGTATATCTAGATACAAAATAATATATATATATATATTATATATATATATTATATATTATA